ATATCTGGAACCACTCGATCACAATCCTATTATCGCAGTGAGGCTCACCGCTCGCACCGGCGCCTCGCAAGAGAGAGAGAGAGAGAGAGAGAGAGAGAGAGAGAGAGAGAGAGAGAGACGCGCTGCTCACCGGCCCGCCCGTTCAGGCCTCGATAGAAAACGCCACTTCTTAATCTTTGCAGCGAGGTGTTATGGTTTTTCGACTTTTCTCAAAAGATCCGATAACTCCAATATGATGGCACCACCACTCGAATTTGAATTTGGAACCGTGGCAACAACCCGCGCGATACAACACTTCAGCTGCAGGAAAAAAAGGTCTTGTACTAGCGTCATTCGAAGACTAGGTGAATATTTTTAGAAAAATTTAAATCGTACATGTCTACGCCCCAAAAACTGAGATTTGTATACATTGAACTTGAACCTTGATTATTCGAGTATCACTTGAGTCAAATCATATGTGTACTTCAAAAATCCAGGATCAAGTACTGGGGCCAAGAACTCTTTTGAACGGTGAACATTCAAAAGAAGAGCTCTGGTTTGGAAAGGACACAAAAAAGGTGCCAATACACTGGAAAAACAAAAGGTAGAACTTAATGCCTTTCTAGGGGTGTTTAATTTTAATGCCTTTGCAAAGGCACGAAAGTGTCCAGAGGCATTAAACTATCACAACTTTGGGCTGCTTCATTGCCTTTGCAGGCATGCCAATTTTTAATGCATTTGCAGAAGGCACACCCAAAAAAGTGTGTTCTCAATTCAAGATGATCCCGAAAATTTTAAGGCAAATGTTCTTATTTTAACCCCTATTTACACTTAAATTAAGTAATCAGGGAATAAATTAATCCCAATTTGCCTTCAAATTTTGGGCATCATCTTGAATTGAGAACACATTGTTTTAGGTGCATTACCAGAAACCCTTCGAGTCCCACCTTTGTTTTTCCAGCGTAAGGCGGTACAATAGGCAGGCAAGTCGCGTCGCGTCGACAGATTAAAAAGCGCGCGAGTCTCTAAATGTGCGGCCATTACCGTGCACCGCCGCTGCATGCACGAGTTGGGTCGTTGTTATCAGCAAATAGAGCGACGCGACAGTGCATGCAACAATGGAGATGAATGGGAGTGAAAGGATCGCGAAAGTGGGTTGGGGAGGGGGGGGGGACACCAAAGCACCGGAAAAATTCGCGTCGGCGAAACGAAATGAGCCCTGCCTGAGAGTCGAGGTTCCAGATGGCCTCGACTTCTTCTTTCGACTCAAGTAGTGTTCCATCCACGGACTAGGTTGAATGGTTGATTACGAATCTTTTATTCTTGTGGTTTAGGCAGTCATGTACATACTATAAGACAAATCCAGCCCGACCCCAAACACCGTAAATACTTACTAAATCACTAATAGAATACGTATCAAACGAAATAGTGACCCGTTAAAAACATAATCGTTTTAAAAAATGCATTTATTTTCTCTCTAGGGAGGATTGAAGAGGAAATTGATACCATGCACCACACTGGAAACGCAAGTGTGTGAATGTCGCACACCTGCAGGTGTGTGAATATCCATTCGTACACTTCAGCGGGTAAACGTGTGAATTTTCTAGGAAAGATTCACACCTTTACCCATCTAAGTGTACGAATGGATATTCACACACCTGCAAGTGTGCGACATTCACACACTTGCGTTTCCAGTGCAGCTCCGCAATTTACTTTTACAACAAACACCTTGTTGTGTCGACGAAAACCAACTCGAGTTTGACTTTGATGTTGATTGTGCTTCGGTTTGCGCCCGCAGAGACGTCGTATTCCCCATATAAATCACCGTCGCTGACCCGCGGGACGGCTGGTGGGGCTCTCTGCCTTCGCCTCGTCACGCTGCGGGGAGGATAGGGGAATCGACAGCCTGACGCGACGCCGCGCCCGGGGCCCGCCGGGCGAAGCTTATTAAAGCGGGGCGATTAATCGCGAGCAAACTGCGAACCGAGCCGAGCCGTCAGCGAGACGGGACGGGGGCGCCCCCTAGCGAGCGGCGGCCCGAGCGGCTGCAGGGGGTAAAGGCACCGCGGCGGCGGCAGGGATATAGCAATTTAAATTTTTCAGAAAACTATCCTCGGAAATTTTTGTAAAAATCCCTTCATTTTTTTTTTCCTGAAAAGTTTAATCTTTTCCCAATGTTTGTGAATATATTCCAATATTTTCGATCTTTTTCTGGAAAAGGTCGAGAAAAAAATGCAAGAGAAATTGTCTACTTTAAAATTCCTAGCGGCGTCCAGAGCAGCTGCAGGGGGTGCAAGGCGCAGCGGAGACTAGGTATTTTTATTTTCAGGGAACTATCATCGGAAATTTTTTGTAAAAATCCCTAAATTTTCTCCTGGAAAGTTTGACTGTTTTTCAATGTTTGTGAACCTATTTCAATTTTTTCCAATTTTTTCTGGAAAAGTTGAAAAAGTAAATGCCAGAAAATAAATTATTTTGGACTTTAAAATCCTTGGGTGTGACCCCTACGGCCCCCTAGCGGCGTCTGGAGTGGCGTCCACAGGGGGTACAGCCGCGGGGTGGTGTGAGCGCGGGGAGTATCGCAGCTCCACCCCCTAGGCACGCAGCGGCAGGGGGTACGGGCAACGGAGCGGGCCTGTGCACACAACACACTTTGCGTGACGCGCGCGGGGGCGACGGGGGAACAAGAAAGGAAAACAAAAATCCAAACAGACACGCAAAAACAAGCAATGCCCGGCGCGCGCAAGACACGCACCCTATGCCCGACGCGTCGCGGGTTCGATTCGAGTAGCCCGCCCTTCCCTATCCGCCCTCCACTAATTGGATTGCCTTCGCAAACGCTAAGAGTCACGCGGTCGGTCGGTCGGGGCGGCAAGGGTGGCCGGGTCAAGCGGAATCGTAAAAGAAGGCGGACGGCGGCGGACGCCGAACGGTACGCCAGCCGTTTCCAAGGAAACACATCCACTTTCCGTCCAAATCAACGCCAAACCAAAGAAACAAACAAGAAAACAATGTGTTCCGTGGAGAAAATATTCGTAGGAAAAATTCTCCATGAAAATTATCGAGAAGTTCCAATTTTTGCACGAATACGAGCATATTTTCATATTTTGACACAACTTATCGCGACTTATCGACTTAGTTTAATGCTATTAGGAAAACTTTTATGCCATCATCGTCAGTTTACAAATTGACAACATTTGTAAATCCAAGTTACAAAACAAGTGTCATCAATTTACATGGATATTTTTCTTACTGTGTCGTGAACTTATAAGCAGATAAAGAAGGAATAAAGGCAGGGGAATGCATAAACAAACTAACAGCTGCATAAAGCTCTCGGATATACCGCATTACCATATCGCCGGCGGGTCTGCCGGACTAGCCGGACCGGCCCGGGTCGGACAACAGCCCCGGAGGTCAATGGTCAGTGGTCGGGGTCGGGGAGGTCGAGGGCTGGGGGATTCATCCACGGAAGTATTGAGACGATGCCGGACGATGCATTATACAGGAAATACCAAAGAAATCAAATTAATCAGAAAAGATGGAGAAAAGATGTATTCCGGTTCTCGAAGCAACTGACTATTTTTTTATTTATTTGTTTAAGTTGTGAAGGCCCTTTGATGTTGGCATCAAAACTCTTGCGGTGGAGCCTGACCCTGGCTATCGACTCATCGGAAAATTAACCGCGAAGGACAAAATCGCGTGGCCCTTGTAAAAATAGAAATAGACCGGAAATACGATATCCACTCGGACAGCAGTTGTTAGAAATGGGCGAGCGCAGAGAGAGAGAGAGGGGGTGAGGAAGGGGGTGAGGGAGGGAGGGAGTGAGGGAGGGAGGGAAAGGGAGGGGAAGGTAGAGAAAGAGGGAGGGGGGGGGAGGGAGAGAGAGAGAGCGAGAGAGAGAGCGCGAGAGAGAGAGCGAGAGAGAGAGACTCGATACCGTCACCGTCTCGTGTCCTTGGCGGGCAGTGACCTCTCAGACCCACAGTAGGCATGGCCCGTGCGCTCCCATGCTAGGAACTACTCAGACCTGCTTGCTGGACTCAGGCTTTCCAGATTCTCCACAAAATAAGGCTCGAACGACCGTCCGTTCGCGGCAAAACCACAATAAGCCAGAACCCCAGCATCCCTTTAGTCAAAGTTTAAACGTCGTTTCGTTTAGCTTGCAAAGACATAATAAGCATCGTTTCTCCTTTTACTTTATACCTTTTTTCGCTGTTGCTGTCTGACTTATACCCCAACCCCTTTCACCGAACGCCTGTCTTCTTTTTATTTCTCTCTTTCTCTATGCTTCTCTCGCTCCCTTCAAGTTTGCGTGTTGTAATGTTATTGACTAAGGCGCCCTTCCCTTGCCCCACCCCCTAGACCCGCCGGCTCCTTCTAGAGGACATACCGGCTGCCCCTCGGGGGCCCCCTACACCACCCCCTCCGACACAAGTGTCAACTACAGGGGGGGGGGGGCTAGAACACTGAGCAGGTGCCCTCTGCGACACCCCCCTGCTGCCCCACAGTGTGTCTTGCAAGGCGATAAAACCATTAAAATAATCACCAAACAGTCGAAAAACGGGGGGGGGGCGCACGCGCGCACACACGATCACCGGGGCCGTGCTTGACTATCGTCAGTTTAAGGGGCGTGGGGGTCATTTCCCAAACCTTGCTCCAGAGTTCAGATCCTGACGGGCGAAAGCGTCGTCGCCGTCCTCGTGCGCGTCGCCTTACCAACCGACAGGTACAGGGTGGTCCATAGACACCCTTTCCTTTCTTTGATTATACTGCATTGCATGCAGGCGGGCGGGCGGGCTTGCCTACCGTCGCTCGCGACCACACCACGGCACCTTATGGCCCCGTGTGAGTATGAGTCCCGCCCGCACAACTGCATACGGTACAGTACAAGAAAAATTAAGGAAGGGGCCTATGGACCAATCAAGGCGGTGAAGCATTGATGTGTGTTTTAAAGACGTTTGCACCATAAAACGAATGACTCCTGCAAAAATAAAACGCAAATTCAAGACAGCTGCACTTACCGATCGCCTCCTCGTCCTCGCCGTCGGGCACCTCCCGCACCTCCCGGGGCTTCCTCACGGGCGGCAGGTGCTTGCCGTTCTCGTCCACCTCGGTGCCGCCGGCCGACCGGGCGCGGCACTTCTCGCACGTCGACCGGGCGCTCGCCGCCGATGCGACCGCCGACCCCGCGGCGGAGGTAGTGGTGGCCGGGGCGGCGTCCTCCGCGGCCGACTCGGCAGCCACCGCGCCCACCGCGGCGGTGCTGGAGTTGCAGCCCATGGCGCGGCGCACCTGCGGACGGAGGCGGCTGGAGCTGAAGTAGGTTTTTTTTAAAGTCTAAAACTTTCACCCAAGCCTTTTAGAATTTTTCTCTTAATTAAGAATAATATTTAATATAATTAAGAATACAGAAATAACAAACATTTGTTTTTTAAACCCAGGCTCAAAAAACAATTTTAAAAATAACCCAAAAATAATTTTCTTGAAAATAAATATCGCTAGGCTGGAGAACGCGCTGCTGGAGAGCGCCGGGCGGATAGGCAAGCCGCGCGCACCAATGCATAGCGCGGCCTACCCGGCCACCGGCAGGCGCGCTGGAGAGCGAGCTCGCTGAGGGAGAACGCCGCGTGGGGGGAGCGGAGGTAAAAAGTTTATGAATGGGGTGGTTACATCATTTTACACGGAGTTTTCGTCATCAAAAACTAGTGAAAACATTTCTCTGTCAATTATACGCTGTTAAGGCCGTACATTTAACCTGCTCTTGTTTTTTCTTACGCTGTCAAAAATAGTTAGTAGGTTTACAGGAAAATTTTCCTTTACGCAAGTTGTAAAATACAAATCGGAATCGTATAAATATATGCAATACGTATCGACTTCAAATCAATTGGAGAGTGAAAAATGTGCTCTCATAAATTTACAACTGAAATCATAATTTGAGTTTACAAAAATTTCGTAAATCTACGACGATATTTTTTACAGTGTATAAAAGAATATTACTGGTTTCCCGGGTGGAGAGCAGGGAGGGGGTGTTAAAGCTGCATCGCTTTCCGGTCGGTGTAGGTCTGAAGCTTTCCCCCCGCTATGGGGTGCTTATTGTGCTTTGCCATCATTCCACGCGTATCGTGTCCGTGTTGCCGGGTGGTGGGTCCTCACCGACCCGGCCGCAGGGGCGCGGCTCACGCACGAGCCCCGACCTCCGACCCTTCACGCACCAACTTGTAAAAGGGTTGGGGGTACAATTTTTCCATTTTATCATTTTATTGCAAGTATTGCTGATTTCGTCCGTTTAGACATGGTTGGATTTGGGTGACCTAGGCAAATAAATAAATTATCATATACTTTTGTATTTGTTTACTTCGCGGGATGATTTACAACGTTTTAATATTATATCAAAGCGCGTAAATTTTCGAACATTTTCTAAACGAGTAAGTTACAATTCACACATGTTAGAGTGCTACTTTTCGTAATGGTATTGAGTATGACACATTTTGTAGAGTGAACTGTGAAAGTAGAAATGGCCGGGTGTGTTTGTGTTTGCTGGCCGACTAGGTCGCACTGCTGCCTCCAGTTTGACGGACAGAGTTTGAGTGATGCCGAGGGCGGGGCGAAGAAAGAGGTTGGGAAGAGGGAGGGGGGTTGTAGGCGAGGTGTGCTGCTTTTTGTGAACCCGGGGTGCCTTCAAATCAGAGGGAGTAGAGTGGATTAGTTTGTCGAGGCGCCATTATACAGCCCACGGTTCTCACTCCCCCATGGCTTTTGTCCGCAGCCCCCCCCCCCCCCCCCCAAGCCCCCCGGGTCAGCGAGCACTAAGTGTTATTAGCATCCCCGTTCGCCCAAATAGGCCGGCGCGTCCGTCCCGCTGGCCCCGCCCTGCCGTATCGTGCACCGGCTTCACTTCTCAACAGTTGGCTGCGGCCGGCGGGGGGCTCGGGGGGCAGGGCCGCGCGGTCAGGACCCCCCGGGGGGGTCCTAAACGGGCAAGAGGGGTTGGGCCCCTCTAGGCTGCTCCGGGCCCCGCCCAGCCCACTGACTAACCGCACGGCCCACGCGGGGGTTTCCTTCAAAGGCTATCGACCGTGCGCGCGCCCCGCCCAGTGCGTGCCGTCGCGCCACCTGCGCGCACCTACCCGCACGGCCAGCTGCGCCCAGTGCGTGAGACGGTGCCGTCGTGGACCACCTGCGCGCACCTGCACCACACCACCTGCACTCGGTGCTTGCCGGCGCACCACCTGGCGCACTGCGCACCACCACCTGCCCCCAGTGCGTGCCAGTGCCCGTGCGCTCCCAAGCACCTGCCGAGAGGCACTTTACCCCCAAAACAGACACTAAACTGTACACCGTTTAAAAAAAAGGAAATGGCGAGAAAATATCAGAAAAAAATACAAAAACAAATCAAGGAAAATTTTTTAAAAAAATTGTGGAGGGATGGATTTATAGTAGGGTAGCCCACGGACACCTGTACGACCACAGCGGCGCACAGTGCGTCTGCACCTGTCCGACCATGTCGGAGCACATCCGGCCGCCCCCGACACTTTATTGGGCCTGGACGCACATACCGGAACCGGAACACACAACACAAACACTCGGCCGGGGCACGCACGCAGGCCCTCAGCCAATCACAACAAACGAGTCGCGTGACGAGCAGCCAATGAGAGAGAGAGCGGCGCGGGGGGCGCGCCGACAGGTAGGCCACGAGGAGCCCTTCCGACCTTCCTTCCGGCCGGGCCGAGGGAGCCGGGCAAGGTCGCGGCCCTATCGACACCCCGACCCGCCGACCCGAGGGTGTGAGGGGGGTGCACCCCCACTGATGGTAATTGCTCGTCACGACGAGAAGTTCGCGTTTGTCTATCATCAAGGGGCTTGTGCCAAAAGCGCCGAGTAGAGCGACCAGAAGCGACGCGGCGACCATTTTAAAAAATCATGCTCATGTATGGCAGGAGAGGCAGTGAGAGAAATTGAAAATTAAAATTGAGAGAGAGGGCAGAAATGAGAGAGGGAAGAGAAATGAAAGGGAAAAGAAATACAGAGAGGAGAGGAGAGAAGATTAAGAAATGTCGCTCAATTTGGGTGATAACTGGAAAACCTCGCTCTTTTTGAGTGAGGATTTCTGAAGTTAATCTCTCTTGATTTGAGTGAGATTTAAGAATCATTCTCAATAAGAGCGAGGTTTCTAAATCATCACTTTAATTGGGCAAGGAGACAAACTCTCGCTCTTTTTAGGTCAGAATTCTCACTCCAGGATTTGCAGTGAGAGAGAGAGAGAGAGAGAGAGAGAGAGAGACAGAGAGACAGAGAGAGAGAGAGAGAGAGAGAGAGAGATGATAGAGGCAGGGAAGAGGCAGGGGAGAGGCACGGAAGAGACAGAGGAGAGACAGAGGAGAGACAGAGGAGAGACAGAGGAGAGACAGAGGAGAGACAGAGGAGAGACAGAGAGAGAGAGAGAGATGATAGAGGCAGGGAAGAGGCAGGGGAGAGGCACGGAAGAGACAGAGGAGAGACAGAGGAGAGACAGAGGAGAGACAGAGGAGAGACAGAGGAGAGACAGAGGAGAGACAGAGAAGCGACAGAGAAGAGGCAGAGAAGAGACAGAAGAGAGGCGGCCTAGGCTGTCGCGCTTGCGCTTGTCCCAACAGCTGATTGTGTTTGTCAATGCGCCCCCTTCCTAACCCCCCCCCCCTCCCCCAGCGGCGGGGGCGCAGTAGTTGCCTGGCACCAGACACGGTAAAGGGCGGTCAGGGCGGAGGGGCGGGGGAGCGGGCTGCCCCCAAACCCCCAAGAAAGGGCCCCGCGGCCACCCACAGAAGGAATGCCATAGCCCACCACCACCCCCGGGCCGGGCGGGGGTTGCTCAGGACTGAGTCGTGGACGGACGCATACCCTGTCTCCACAGCGCACCGATGTTGGTGAACGGCGAAACGTTGAAACCGGTTGAAACCAAGTACCTGGAATAGAGACAGTGATTTTCGCTCCATGCAATTGTTAGCTTCTACGACCACGTCTTTAAGGACAGTGAGGACCTTGTTAACAACACACAAGATCACGCCTGTTTACCCGTGTTCATCCAGCAAGCGAGGCGGCAAGGCTGAGCGACAGCCAATCGACACGTTTGGGAAACGATTACGTCAATTTACTTGACTTACGTGACGCCTGCGGCCTGCGCTCATGCACCATTAGGGAAACACAAAAAAATGGCCCATTGGTTGCTGTGAAGACCGACACTGCTGTGGACGGGTCGATTCTATAATTCCCCCCCCCCCCCCAAAAAAAAAAAAGTTTTAATCAGAGAGATCTGTGTGGCCCAGTATCATGCAGCAACACCCACCACCACCATGATGTAAGTTATCAAACAGCATTTTTACCGCTGAGGCGAATTGTATAGACCCCTCGCCGGCCAAGCCAAGGAAAATACGTCAATACTCGTTCTTCTTTACTTCATAAGTTATAAAGGAAAAGGGGATTTAAAGAGCGACAAAAAAGGATACTTTAAATGTGTATAAGGTCATATATTATAACTATCACTGAACCTCACATTGATTCTAAACTTTTGGAATGACATCGACTCTCATTCTCATACAAGATCTGAGCTGTTTCGATTTGGACAACTTGTTATACCCGATGAACACGTAGACCAAAAATCGTCCATACGGAAGAGATGGGAAACGTCGCAACGGTGGTATTATAGGAACTAAATTTTTAGTCAAGTACAGGCCCTGAAAAAAATAGGTACCTGCACATGTTGTACCGGGTGATTCAGAGCACGCGCCGTGGTGTTGCGGGATTGCACACCCTCTAGCGGCTATGGCGCCTTAAGGGCGGACAGAGTAGGCAAACCCGCCGACAGCGACACATGCTCTGAATCTCCCGGGATATAAGTTCCATAAAGTGCACCATATTTTAAAGTTAATCTCTGCTCTGGAAACCCAAGTGTGTACATGTATGCGTTATTTACTGAATACCTACATGTATGCAGCAAATACTGCTTACATGATCATGTATGCAGCAGATAGTGTGTACATGACCATGTATGCAGCAAATACTGCATACATGATCATGTATGCGGCAAATAGTGTGTACATGACCATGTATGCAGCAAATACTGCATACATGGCCATGTACACACGTAGAGCTCTATGCTAAAAGCTATGTGCCGAAGTGTGTAACTGGCCATGTATGCAGTATTTGCTGCATACATGGTCATGAACACACTATCTGCCGCATACATGATAATGTAAGCAGTATTTGCTGCATACATGTAGGTATTCAGTAAATAACGCATACATGTACACAAGGGACGTACCTTGGTCTCATAACCGTTTCGATTTTACTTTAAAAATCTTACTTTACAAAATATCGCCGTTCACCTCGAAAATATCCACCTTAATTTTCAACATCGTTAAAAATTACTAGTAATTTTGATTTACAAATTGTGTTGTAAATTTGTGACAAGCCCATTCTTGCTATCATACCAGGTGGCTGATTCACGCTGCGCACTTCTGTAGTTATGCTGTACCGCATGCACGAGTGCGGGTGGGTTGCCTACGCGCTCGGCACGTAAGGCGCCGTGGACAGGAGCGATAGGCAAGCCCGCCCGCACTCGTGCATGCGGTACAGTATACCTACAGAAGTGCGCGGCGTGAATCAGCTACCTGGTAGATCAATTCCAAGTCGATACGAAGTGCTTGTAAATTACAATCAAATTATTGTAATTTTACGACACATCATAGACAGTTTTCCCCGTAAAACCTACGACTATTATTTTTTTTGGTCAGAGTTTGTGCGCACGACGACGACTGCAACAGCAGCCGGTCCACCGGCGAGGAGGAAGACGCACCCTACGTGCATTCAAGTCCTCGCGAACCCCATTCGGGCCTAAGGACCTGTCAGTCGGGGGCAGACAACAACCAGCCAGCGATCAATCATACCCACACCGGCGGAGGGCAGACAGCGGGGGCTGTATAGCCCCCCCCCCCCCACACGCAAACCATAACGCGGATTGTTATCACCGTGAGTCGAGAAAAGGAACATCCTCCGTTACGGGTGGGTGGGTTTAAAACGGGGAGGTGTATGATAATCCTTTCGAGAGAGGAAAGAGAAATCGCAGGAAGTGCGAAAGAGAGGTCCTGAGACTGCGGAAGGGCAGGCGCTTTTATGGATGGCGAGAGGAAGAGAGACAGGTGTGACTCGATAAGAATCTGCCCCCCCCCCCCTTTCTCGCTCTCCCTCGCTATCTCTCTCTCGCTCTCTCTCGCTCTCGCTCTCTCTCTCTCGCTCTCCCTCTCTCGTTCTCTCGAGCACGCGCAAGCGAACTGAGGGGCACAGCAGCTCGGGCTCGCGCGATCACTTTCAAATACAGCAGCAGCGGTTTGTAGGAGGGGGAAGGACCGAAGGTGCATGCATATGACAGTCACGTCGTCACTCTAAAAACTTCAACGCTAGTACACAAATTCCCAACTTTTGAGCGATATAACTAAATTGAGCTACTTTGACTAAAATAGTAATCCCTTATTTAACTATCCTTTAGCTATACAAGCTCATCTTTTTTTTTTTCTCGTTGCAATGATCCGACGTTTAGGAATTAATTTAATAAGAGTGTCAAGTAGCTACCTGCAGCTCACAGGTCGCGGGTCCTCTTCTCAGGGTCGACGACGTTCACGCTGCGATGACGCGTCGTCGTCGGCGAGCAGCTCCCACCCCGAGACGGACCACCACCACTGCCATCAGCGGCGCGTCGTCGTCGTCGGTGTGCGGACGAGGACGAGTAGGGGAAGCAAGCCGCCGGCGGGCCCCCGGTATAGGTGATCGCGCGACGTGATGTGACGAAGATGAGGTGACGAAGGTGAGGTGACGACGCAAGGGATGCAAAGACGCGAGGGACCCCACGACGCGAAGGTCAGGGGTCACAGTCCGCCAGGGGGAAGAGCAGTTCCTGTCGCGTCCCGCTCGGCAGCCCGTGTGCGGCCGCCGCGCTGCGCGGCCCGCGCGGCCTCGACGGCGGCCCCGACGACGACGACGGCGGCGGAAGCCCCCCTCTCTCTCTCCGCTTGCTTAATTAAATGCGACACATACGTGAGACGAGGTAATAACTCGGGCAGGACACACGACGGCGGCGTCGCGGCCGCGCGGATAG